ACTGGCCGTCAATCAATAATTTCGCAATCGTCAAGCTGTCAAGGAGGGAATTTTTCCTCTCGGAGGTATGGCGTTTGATGATCCTCCTTCTTTCAGCATTCCGACAATCTCTCTTCTTGTCGTCTTTAATGACATCCTTGGTCGTTCTCACTTTGTCCTGGATACGGGCGACTGGGGGAACGTTCGTACTCTAGGAGACGTCCGTTTCTTGGGGGACGTTCTTACTCTGAAAGACCTCCTTTTCCTGGGAGACTTCCGTACCCTGGGGAACTATGTTACTTAATATGAAGTCATTTGTTGAGGTCACCAAAAATTCAACCGTTTCTTAGAAGAAGAAAAAGGAAAGAGTGCCGATGTAACAAACCGGTTCACTTCCATTAGATCAAACAATATTAGATTCTTGTGGTAGAACATCCGACAATCTGATTCTTCGATAACTGTGTCCAGTTTACTGGACAAACATTTTCAGAAGAAAGAATCTCAGAATCAAACTGATATCAAAAGCGACACCTGGATCGAAAATTTAGCTTCGAGCATCACGGTTTCGAGGACGGTTAAAGTCACACTACCTCGCCATTCCTGCTCCATTTAGCGTTGAGCAAGAATATGTTAGTACATGTACAAGCATGTCCGTTAATACAATAGTTTTTATTGTAATTTACCTCCCAAGAAAGAAGACAATTTAGTAATAACTAACTTGTTAAAGAAGCGTGAAAGTCCATCGCTTTCTCACACCAGCTGTACCCTCTCTCTATTGTAAGTTTCCTAGTGGATGTGAATTTTCCTACTCCTTCACTTCCTTTAATTAAAGCGCAGCTAGCTTTTCCGGCCTTATCTCATAAACCATGGCCTGTTGTAAAAAGTTTATTTTCACACCTGGTGTTTGAGAAGGACCGGGCATGGGCTCTTCCAGAGGATAGTAATAGTAGTAATAGCCTTCTTGGTAATCATCTTCTGGAGGATAACTACTATCAACTCTGACACTGGTAAGCTCTTCCCCGCCACTTTTACCAGTCTCTGCATCCGCATTTCTCGTAGACGTGTACAAGTATTCATAATATTTCCTGATAGGCCTGGAGGTAAAAACGAAAGGTTTTAGAACCTTACCTTAAGCTACGAGGATAACTGGATCACAAGCGACCTACTGTTCTTATCGTCTTATTTCACCTTAAGAATCAGTTCTGCAAATAAGAAGGATTGAAACGGAAATACAGAAAGATTCAGACTCTCTGTGATCATGTGAGAAAAAAGGTCAAGAGGTATTCGATTCTCCAAAGAAAAAAACTTACCTTTTTTCTTTAGTTTGAAAATTGATTACCAATTATAACTCTTTTTAACAGCTAGGCCAATCTGCTCAAGTGGTAGATAAAGTTATCCAACGGATAAAGCACTACCTAATGGGTAAGTGTTATCAAAACCTACTGCACTGTTCACTCTGGATGAAGACCATATTAATCATCAACGAATGATTACGGTTTGCGGTTTTGAAACGTGACGTTATACATACCATGTAAACACAAAGAAAGAAATCATCATGAGAAGCAGAAAGACCCCTGCTGCCACGAAGGTTGTGGCAATAATGGAAAGGCCACCTTCTTTCTGTTCTTCCTTTTTATCTTTTCCTTTGTTGGCACTTCTTATTTCGTCATTGCTTTTTGTGTAAGCCAGGGATAAACCAGTCCAGCGAATATTAGATCCTGGTATGGTAAGAGGCTTTGAGGCTATATTAGACTACACACCTCCGTACCTAACGTCTTATGGTCATGTCGCGCGTTAATCTTTTCTAGGCCTACATAGGTTAGATTTCAAAGCACGTGCATCTGACCTCTTTGGTATTTTGACCGGCCTTTTTTTTTTCACTCTTTCGCTGTTATTGATCAAATAATTCCCTCCAATCTGAAGACGATTTCTAAAAATCTTGATCCGCTTTATACATTTCTCAGCGTTAGTGGTTATATCTAGTAGGAATGAAAGGTGTTCGCTGTGTAAAACCAGAGCCATACTATTCTCAGAAAAATAATTTAGTCATTTATCTATTTATCAAGCATATTTCAGCAGAGATACCCAGTTCAGCATATGCTGGTTTAAATGGGGCTCTGCAAACCCACCCATCCCACCCCATGGGAGGACATCCGTCACACGGTAACTCGTGTTTAGGAAATTAACGTCTCTTACCCCTAACCCTGCAGGAGACGGCACCGCCATTTATTCGTCCCTATCCGAGAAGACTAGAATATCTAACCATTTCTTGATGTTATAGAAGGGTAGCATATTATTCTCAATTATTTTTAATGACCTTGAGTGTTGGTCTGGCCGGGGCTCGAACCCTCGACCTCCCGCACAACAGTCCAGCACTCTAACCATTGAGCTAACCGGGAGGCGGTTTACACACACTAGTTTTAGATTCACGTTCCATTTCTTCCTGCTTCCCTGAACCAGAAGCGTCAAATTCGAGTTCATTAGAGGCCCAGTTGGCGGTAGCCTCTGGATCCGGATTTTGACCCTCACCAGACCCCCTCTGGATAAACGGTTCAGATTCAAAGGGCTGAGTTTCACCAGAACTCACTTTGTCATTAGGAGCAGTAATCTTAAAGTAAATATCAAACACTATACTATATCTTATCATAATCAGAGCATCAAAATAAGAAAAGATTTACGAAACACCATACACAAACAGCGAGCCAAAAAGCTTTTGACAAGCTGTCATGTAGGTAATAAAGTAGAACAATGCTCCGCCGAAAACATCTGGACCACTGCACTGGTGAGTCACAAAATACAGGACAAAAAGAACTCAAGTTGAACTGAGATCTTGCGGTTCCTGCAAAGCCCAACACAGCAACAAACTAGTTATTTACAGGAAGATTACCCTTAAAGTGGAAACCGAACAACCCTATTCGATTAATTTTTTGCCACAGCATCAAAATAGATAAATATATACTTCTTCCATTGACAAAAGGAGTGACACCTGAGTGTCACCAAGGTGACACCCAAGTGTAAACAATTTATCAATGGGAGGAGTGGTCTTTCAGTGGAAGTGGAGCATAGCCAATATATCTTATCATGACTACATCATCAAAATAAAGAAAAGAAAAGCCTCAAAAAAACTCTGTGATCCAACAAATAGCGTACCAATAAGGTATCTACAAGCCACACTACCGAAAACTTCTAGAGCACTACAAGGGAGAGCCAAAAGATGCAAAGCCAGAATTAAAACCACAAATTTGTGTTCTAGATATTATTATTTTTAACCTAAAAGTAGAAGTGGAACAAGGCCATTATATCAAATCATTACCACGGCATCGAAATAATTATAATAAAAAAAAGCACAACGTTATCAAAAAAGCGAGCCATAAGCGACATGATCCAGTGGTAATTATAAGATTTAGACTGAAAATCTATAGCTACAGTTTGAAGGCCTGGAGCCGGTTTCACTTTTAACTTCCTAACGTTTAATTTCTGCACACTACTTACATGTTTTGAGCAGGAGTAAATTCGGGAGCGACAATGGTTATGCATCTTTTTCAATCATATAACTAAACTAATTACCCATGTGCGCCTTTACTGATCAGCTTTAAAGATCAGTTTTGTCTACAAGAGAGAGAGCGGAATCTTAAAACTTCCTGATTGAAGAATTAGAGTAGGTGGTACGTCCGGAGATCAAAACTTCGGGCTTGTAACATGGCAGGGTCATGGGGTTGTGCCCCGGGCAGGGCAGATGCTACTGAGAGTAGCAACACTCCGAGTAGACTTGTGTTATAGAAGCTGAGATAAGCTCCGAGAGGGTGAACCTTTAAGGCTCGTAAATTGATCTTACCTTTTTCAATTTTTTAATGATTTTAGTAGGTTCTCCCCTCTCCTCAAGATATTCTTTCCGATGTTAAACGATTTCTTCAATTTAGCTGGAAGGGTTGGCCCTCCGCTGTCGGTAATCCCATCACGGGTAGATGTTACTGCACTGGTATCTTGGCCAGTTTTAATATAATCACCTGTGCTGTCATGGAGCCTGTTTTGAAGAGGCTTCAATGAAAACACGAGAAAGCTACCTGTCTCTTCGAGAATTGTTGATGGTAGAGAATCTCCTATAGATAAAACAAAGGTATGCCAGGATTGTCGTTACAAAAGATCATTTTTGTGCCGCTACGTACACGCCCCTGGCCTACATAGGTTAGATTTCAAAGAACGTTCACTTTTGTCTCTTTGGTGTTTTGACTGACCTCTTTTTTCTACACATTCGTTGCTATTGGTTAAATATATCTCTCCAATCTGAAGACGATTTCTAAAAATCTTGATCCGTTGGATCTATTTCTCAGCGTTTGTAGTTGTAGCAAGTGAAAAAAACTGACTAGTACCTATGGGGGGACAAAAGCTACCTAATTCGATTTATTATTTTTTTTTTGCATGAGGTCTTCAGTGGTAAGATTTCCTCTTTTTCACTTTTTAAAAAAAGAGGGAGGGAGAAAAAGAGCGAATCGACATACTTGACTTTTACCCCGCCTATTCTCACGGCTATTTTTCATTGATTAGCTTTTTCGTTGTTCGTGCCTGAATTTCAGATGTCTTGGACTTAGCGACAGCTATTACTGAGATGGGTAGCTAGGAATAGCTCCTATTGTCTATCTAGTTACAAAACTAAACCTGAAGCTCTCGGGCTTGGAATTCAAAGTGACACAAACAACAAAAATGACATGCACCATATTTTTCCGTCTTCGCGCACTTAATTCGGGCCAGTAAGCAAATAGAAATCGCTTCAAATTTCGAAAATTACTCAAATAAAGTAGATTGAAATGCAACTAACCCTTGCCAAATGCGGCAATTGCAAAAGCAAAAATCTCGATCCAAATCACTCTCATCTCATTTTTTTTAGGAAATCATCGCTGCATAAATAACTCCGAGGCTCTCCGAAAGAAAAGTGACTGAAATGTGAACTTAGAAACAATCATTTTTGGCGTAAAGACAGCAGAGTGAAAATAACTCTCAAAAAAGAAACGACAACTTTGAGTTTAAATTTACAAGATTCGACATTGTC